ATACTCATTCCTAGACCAAGGTGGACATTTTACCCAAATAACCACCATAGCTGTGACGAATGAAAAGTAAAATTGACCACACTATATATAAATCATAAAACTTTCTATAAATACAATTAAATGAAGAAATAAACTGTTTAATCAGATTTAACCTCTGCTAGATTAGATTTATTATTATTTATTTGTGTGTGTGTGTGTTTTACTCATTTCGTCCATTTTGAAGGAGTTATTTTTAGGCTTTATACCGAAACGTCCTTGTGTTTTGTCCTGTTTCTCCAAGTCAAGCTTCCACACAACTCGTTTTGCTATTTCATTCATTATTTTTATTATAAAGTCAGGTGACCAACCTAAGGCAAGGTTTTCTACAGGTTTCAAAGTCAGGTGGCCAATCTAAGGCAAGGTTGTCTACAGGTTCCAAAGTCAGGTGGCCAACCTAAGGCAAGGTTGTCTACAGGTTCCAAAGTCAGGTGGCCAACCTAAGGCAAGGTTGTCTACAGGTTCCAAAGAACAGAAAAAGAAATTAAAAAAATGGAACAAAGCCATTTTATTTGATCGTCCTGGCTGATATTTTGTAAACACAACTTGGCAACCCACACAGAGAGGCAAATGGACAGCAGATAAATCGTTGACAGCACCCATTGTCACGTTGACAGCTCCTATTGTCACGTTGACAGCTCCTATTGTCACACATCGAAGGCAGCCATGAATGGGACAAAAGTTTGGCGATTGAAGATAAAGGCGTCGACTTTTTAAAAAAAAAAATATTATTTTTCAAATTTAATTAGCTAATGCTTTTTCAAAAAAGTAATATTGGCTGCAGCCTTGATGTATAAAGAGAAGTAACTAAGGAGATGGTTGGTTCTGATGCATTGATTTTTCTGAATAAGGTTACGACTTTAAGCTTATCATATGTTGATGTTAGAACTCCGAAAAACTGAGACACTTAACCGTGGGAAAATTTATGTGCACTTTCTAGGCTATTAGTCTGGCACTGGTGACGTAATATGTGTGTACAAGCAGGGAATGGTGTGTGTTTGCGTGTAAGCTGGGAATGGAGTGTGTGTGTATTGGGGGGGGGAGTTCGAATGAGATGGATGGATTTATATAACTTATAAGCCCAAAACCTCTAGCCCAGTGGTCCCAAACGGCTGGACCGAAAGAACTTGCCGTGTTCTTGCTTCCACTGGTGATGTTGCAATGGTCATGTTGCACTGGTCATGTTTCATTAGTCATGTTTCACTGGCCATTTTCACACTGGTGATGTTGCATTGGTGATTTTGCAATGGTGATGTTGTAATGGTGATGTTTCACTGATGATGTTGCAATGGTGATGTTGCACTGGTGATGTTTTAATGGTGATGTTGCACTGATGATGTCGCTAAGGTGATGTTGCAATGGTGATGTTGCACTGGTGATTTGCAATGGTCATGTGGCATAGGTGATGTTGCAATGGTGATGTGGCAATGGTGATTCACTAAAAGGTTCATTGTACATTATGGATTTCTTTTCACAGAACTAAAACATCCACCTGGTACATTATAAAGTTAATACATAAAAACATCTCACAGAAAATTATTATCCTCAGACAAAAAGCCTCACAGTGAGAATCTATATAAATACTATCCCTCTCCTTCGCTCACTCACTACCTATTATCGTTGTCTCCCTTTGTATCCCGAAATCTCCGCACCTGTAATTGATGTGACAAGAGTTCCCACCTGTACTTGATATGACAAGAGTTCCCACCTGTACTTGATATGACAAGAGTTCCCACCTGTACTTGATGTGACAAGAGTTCCCACCCGTACTTGATATGACAAGAGTTCCCACCCGTACTTGATATGACAAGAGTTCCCACCCGTACTTGATGTGACAAGAGTTCCCACCCGTACTTGATATGACAAGAGTTCCCAACCGTACTTGATGTGACAAGAGTTCCCCCCCTTACTTGATATGACAAGAGTTCCCACCCGTACTTGATGTGACAAGAGTTCCCACCTGTACATGATGTGACAAGAGTTCATACATGTATTTGATGTGACAAGAGTTCCTACCTGTACTTGATGTGACAAGAGTTCCCACTCGTACTTGATATGGCAAGAGTTCCCACTCGTACTTGATATGACAAGAGTTCCCACCCGTACTTGATGTGACAAGAGTTCCCACCTGTACTTGATGTGACAAGAGTTCCCACCTGTACTTGATGTGACAAGAGATCCTACCCGTACTTGATATGACAAGAGTTCCCACCTGTACTTGATATGACATGAGTTCCCACCCGTACTTGATATGACAAGAGTTCCCACATGTACTTGATGTGACAAGAGTTCCCACCTGTACTTGATGTGACAAGAGTTACTACCCGTACTTGATATGACAAGAGTTCCTACCTGTACTTGATATGAAAAGAGTTCCCACCCGTACTTGATATGACAAGAGTTCCCACCCGTACTTGATGTGACAAGAGTTCCCACCTGTACATGATGTGACAAGAGTTCCTACCTGTACTTGATGTGACAAGAGTTCCTACCTGTACTTGATGTGACAAGAGTTCCCACTCGTACTTGATATGGCAAGAGTTCCCACTCGTACTTGATATGCCTGTACATGATGTGACAAGAGTTCCTACCTGTACTTGATGTGACAAGAGTTCCTACCTGTACTTGATGTGACAAGAGTTCCCACTCGTACTTGATATGGCAAGAGTTCCCACTCGTACTTGATATGGCAAGAGTTCCCACCCGTACTTGATGTGACAAGAGTTCCCACCTGTACTTGACATGACAAGAGTTCCCACCTGTACTTGATGTGACAAGAGTTCCCACTCGTACTTGATATGACAAGAGTTCCCACCCGTACTTGATGTGACAAGAGTTCCCACCTGTACTTGACATGACAAGAGTTCCTACCTGTACTTGATGTGACAAGAGTTCCCACTCGTACTTGATATGGCAAGAGTTCCTACCCGTACTTGATATGACAAGAGTTCCCACCTGTACTTGATATGACATGAGTTCCCACCCGTACTTGATGTGACAAGAGTTCCCACTCGTACTTGATATGGCAAGAGTTCCCACTCGTACTTGATATGACAAGAGTTCCCACCCGTACTTGTTATGACAAGAGTTCCCACCTGTACTTGACATGACAAGAGTTCCCACCTGTACTTGATGTGACAAGAGTTCCCACCTGTACTTGATGTGACAAGAATGCCTACCCGTACTTGATATGACAAGAGTTCCCACCTGTACTTGATATGACAAGAGTTCCCACCTGTACTTGATGTGACAAGAGTTCCCACCTGTACTTGATATGACAAGAGTTCCCACCTGTACTTGATATGACAAGAGTTCCCACTCGTACTTGATGTGACAAGAGTTCCCACCTGTACTTGTTGTGACAAGAGTTCCTACCCGTACTTGATATGACAAGAGTTCCCACCTGTACTTGATATGACAAGAGTTCCTACCCGTACTTGATATGACAAGAGTTCCCACCTGTACTTGATATGACAAGAGTTCCTACCCGTACTTGATATGACAAGAGTTCCCACCTGTACGTGTTGTGACAAGAGTTCCTACCCGTACTTGATATGACAAGAGTTACCACCTGTACTCGATATGACAAGAGTTCCTACCCGTACTTGATATGACAAGAGTTCCCACCTGTACTTGATATGACAAGAGTTCCTACCCGTACTTGATATGACAAGAGTTCCCACGCGTTCACTTAACCCCATGGTGACAAAGCACAATACACACAATACCGCTCACGCCATGACCTTGATAACCGTTATGTATCCGTTCAATAACCGATAAATATCCGTTCAATAACCGATACATTACCAGTCATAGCGTATACTCTTTTTGCACTATCAAAATTTATTTATAATATAAACAATTATCAAACAAACACAACAAAGCCTTCAATAACAATATTTATATATTTACAAACTTATGTTATGAACTATCGTAAAAAATGTCAATTTGTTTTTTTAACAAAGTAAAACTCTATTCACAATATCTGCACATCCACATTCAGTTCAAGAAATTAGAATTGCTGCAAAAGAAAAATTACTTTTGAACCGAAAGACCCCAACATCGTCTTTAGGTAGGGAATTTTAATTTTTTTTTTTTTTTTGCTGGCATCTGTCCGTCACAAAGTGACCTTGGTGTGGGCTTCAGAGGACGAAATCCACAAGGCCTGGGATTATTCTTCAAGGATTATAAGCTGGTTCCCAACTGCAAATCACCCCTCTCCCTGCCGCTGGATAGCCCAAGGGAACATTGGATGATACAGCTTGGCAGGAGTTGTCCGAAGGTTTCATTGTATCAATGTTATCCGCCTTTCGGGACTCAACCTCCGTTTCCTTCTCTTAGATGAGTTGGCTTCCAAGGTTAACGAGTCATATCCACCCGGGGTGCTGGTGATGTTTTTACTTGACTGAGCTCTTGCTGGAATTGATCTCCAGACCACCAAATTGAGATTTGCTCAGTTTAGACCCCGCTGCCACCCAGCACCTAAGGAATTATTAGTAAATTAAACGATACAATCCCATAACGCTACAATCCCATGTATTCTCAAGAGCAAGGGGCGCCAAAATTGTCTTTTTACTGTTGCGACCAGGTGGTATTTATTTCTATAGATCAGGGAGCGCAAATTTCAGGCTTCGCCCCCAGCGGTCACCTTTCTTTAAAACTTTGTACTGGGATCATTCGTTTTGATTTTTTTTTTTAAAATCTGCACTACAACTTTGAAATGGATGTCGGCTTATCGTAGATCAGTTCCCGGCTATTGCTGCAGTCCCGGTTATTGCTGCAGTCCCGGTTATTGATGCAGTCCCGGTTATTGCTGTAGATGGTTAGGCCTCTCAGACTCCCTTCATCAGAACCGTCATCATTGACACCAAGCCCGCTGTCCCGTCTGGTCAAGATGGACTTGGTGCTTCTCAGACTGTCCAGCCTCGTGACATTCAAATCCTCATGACGCAACATTCCTGTCCGCCCGTGCTTGAAGTTAAATCTGCCGCCTTGTGGAGAGTCCTGAAATGGTAAGGCCCCAGGTCCATCGACAACGATGGTATGGTCAAGAAATCCTTCTCGCTTGACGTCACTCGTGTTGAGTTTATGTTGACTGAAGTGGAGATCCTGGTTAACTTCCGGTACTTTTTCGTCGAAGACTTTCTGGTAGAGTAAAGCCGCCATCATGCCTCCAGTGATCGGAGCTGTCCAGTAGATCTAGAGTTTTGAAATAAATACAACTGTTTAAAACTTCAAAAAATAACTTCAAATAATCTTACATTTCTCTACTTACAATACTCTACTAACAATTTAATGACCCCGTAATCCTATGATAAACTTGGGATATAGGATATATCGGCAGAACTGAGAAATTTTGCCTGACGATATAGGATATATGGGCAGAACTAAGACCTTTTGTCTTAGGATATAGGATATATGGGCAGAATTAAGTCCATTTGCCTGAGGATATATGATATACGAGTAGAGCTAACACCTTTTGCCTGAGGATATAGGATATATGGGCAGAACTAATACCTTTTGTCTGAGGATATAGGATATATGGGCAGAACTAAGACCTTTTGTCTTAGGATATAGGATATATGGACAGAACTAATACCTTTTGTCTTAGTATATAGGATATATGGGCAGAACTAAGACCTTTTGTCTTACAGTAAATGGTTGAGCGGGTCTTGCCCCGTCTACAGTGGTTCTCATCTTACCCAATGGTTTTCCCAGATTCCAGTCCACACGGCAGGCCCAAATGAGCGTGCGGGGTTCATACTCCCCCCAGTGAGAACCCCCTGTTAAAACAAAATGTAAACTGTTGTAAATTGACACACATTGATAAACTGTTAGAAAGATCAATTGAAAAATTGATAAAATGATAAATTGATGAAATGATAACAAAGTTTCCTTTGTACAAGTGTCCCGCTGTCTCACTATTAGCGATAACGTCGCCAAATGGTAATCACTTTTGGATTGATTGAAAATAAGGTAGCCATGGGGGGGGGGGGGGGAAAATATCAGCCAACACTATGTAAGAGATATCAGCCAACACTATGGTGGAAAATATCAGCCAACACTATGTTAGAGATATCAGCCAACACTATGATGGAAAATATCAGCCAACACTTTGTTAGAGATATCAGCCAGCACTATTCTTGAGATATCAGCCACCACTATGATGGAAAATATCAGCCAACACTATGTTGGAGATATCAGCCAACACTATGCTGGAGATATCAGCCAACTGGCGAATCTCACCATTTGCTTTAACCTCTGCTGGCTTTAAACCGGAACGCAAAGAAAAATACAACTTAAATTCTTCTGGTTATCGATAATATAACTTATGGCAATCTGAAATACAACTTTTGGTCATTATAAGATAACGTATGGTTATCTTTAATATATGTTTCATCATCTTATATGTTTCACCATCTTATATGTTTCACCATCTTATATGTTACACATCCCTAATTCAGTTCAGAACTTATTTAGTTTACACAATTTTCAAAACTTGTCTAATGTGAACACACTAAGGATAGCAAAAAATGTTGATAAAAAATATTTAAATCACATAGATATATACGTAAGTTAAATACAAATTAATAATGTGTCAATTGTTTTTGTGTTAGGCTGATAACTATTTTATTTTTAAATTGATTTTGATTTAGAAAAATGAAATTAAAAAAAACTCCAAAGTTGCTTACACTCCAGGCAATGCACACAGTTGCACAGAAGCCGATACTTAGGGCAGTAGAACCACTGTGGTCAGTTCTCAAACGGTCACAACTAGCAAATACTGTCATCACCAATAGAAATGTCGTAACCATCTCAATAATGAAGCCCTGAAAAAACGGACGAGTTGTTACCATCGCTTTAAATTAATTGAATGAATCACTCATAGGTTCATTGACTGGATTGGTGTGCTGTACTCGTCATTGTTAGTGGATTATTGTTCTGTACTCATCATTGTTAGTGAATTAGTGTGCTGTACTCATCATTGTTAGTGAATTAGTGTGCTGTACTCATCAGTGTTAGTGAATTAGTGTGCTGTACTCATCATTGTTAGTGAATTAGTGTGCTGTACTCATCATTGTTAGTGAATTAGTGTGCTGTACTCATCAGTGTTAGTGAATTAGTGTGCTGTACTCATCATTGTTAGTGGATTAGTGGGCTATGCTTATCATTGTTAGTGGATTAGTGTGCTGTACTCATCAGTGTTAGTGGATTAGTGGGTTATGCTTATCATTGTTAGTGGATAAGTGTGATGTACTCATTATTGTTAGTGGATTAGTGTGATGTATCATCAGTGTTAGTGAATTAGTGGGCTATGCTTATCATTGTTAGTGGATTAGTGTGCTGTGTTTAACATTGTTAGTGGATTAGTGCGTTGTGTTCATCATTGTTAATGGATTAATGTGCTATGCTTATCATTGTTAGTGGATTAGTTTGCAATACTTATCGCGTTGGTGTATTAGTGGGCTATGCTTATCATGTTGGTGTATTAGTGGGATATGCTTATCATTGCTAGTGGATTAGTGTGCTGTGAAAACAATACACGAAACTAAGTAAGTTTTTGCAACAAAAAAAGCATTACAAAAGGTCAGATTCAACCATGGGTCAAGGTTCACCTTCAAAAAGTGCAGCCAAGACTGTCATTCCAGAATTGGCCCCGTAAGCCATATGATGAAGTCTCAAAGGCTATACTTATAATTAATTAGTAAATAAATATATAAGTATAGCCTTTGAGACTTCATCATATTGTCCTAGTGTTTATTTGATTTAGTTTTGTCTTTTTTTTTCTCCAAAAAATTAAAGGGTCGTGACAACTTCTAGAGGTTAAATTTACTTTGATTTCAAAATATGGAAGTGAGTGTTTCAAATTTACCTGCCACTGCTCCACCCCTTCCGTCAGAGTTGTGCTTCCAATCACCCCTCTGAGTGGTTCTGGAACTGTAAGTCGAATGATCCCGGCTCCTAACACTGCACCGAATGTCTGGGAGAGAATGTAGACGGAACTCTGGGAAGCAGACAACAAAAGACAACAATAAAAAAGACGTTTGTGGAAAATTCTATTTCAAAAATACACACTTCCGTTGTCTTTGCAGTAACAGAATCATGAGACTAACATGACAGAATCATGAGACTAACATGACAGAATCATGAGACTAACATGACAGAATCATGAAACTAACATGACAGAATCATGAAACTAACATGACAGAATCATGAAACTAACATGACAGAATCATGAAACTAACATGACAGAATCATGAAACTAACATGACAGAATCATGAAACTAACATGACAGAATCATGAAACTAACATAACAGAATCATGAATTTAACATAAAATTATCATGAAACTAACGAAACTAATAGAGCAATCATAATTCAAGTTGAATATGTCAAATTATGACCGGTTTTTTTTTTTTAAAGGGGTGGGGGAGCGTGTAATTTATTCTTCATCAATGTTAATAAAATATAATTTTGGTTATGTCCCTTCATATTCAAATACTTTCCAATCATTTAAAAGAGCGGCCAATATGGATCCCATTTAGTGTTCAGCATTTATCCACTAGGATCAGACTAATGAAGAGTACGCTATGAGATTAAGACTATCCGGTTGTTGTTCTAGCCCTTACTGATGTAACTTAAAATAACGTTAAAATGCTTTCTTTTTTATTCATTGTAAAGATGAGACTGACTGTTAGTGAAGAAATAAATGTATCTATATGAAGCTATAATTATAATTGTCACATTGTTTGATAGAACAAAGTAATGTCATCATAATGATAGTTGAATGGGAGGATAGAACTAAGTAATGTTATCATAATAATATTCCTGTGGTTGGATTGTCCTAAGTTATCATATAATAATGAGATTCGCGATCGTAAACAGCAATTTTTACCGTTGAGAATATTACATCTGAGATTTAATTAATTAGGTATTGCCAGACTGAAAGGTTGTAATTTTAGTTATTGAATAGCACTAACATTAAAAGAACATAGCACTAACATAGAAATAACATATCACTAACATAGAAATAACATAGCACTAACGTAGTACTAACGAAGCACTAACATAGCCCTAACATAGCACTAACACAGCAAACACGTAGCACTAACGGCACTGAGATAGTGCAAGCCTAGCCCTAAAAAGGCACAAGCTCAACTTAGATTTGCTTACAATGCAGGCCATTAAATAGAGTGTTGCACCGTTTTTTCAATGACCTATCGGTCGGACAAAGGAATAATAATAATAATAAGGGGTCAATTATAGCGCGGTACCCCAGCCTAGGGCTGGGCTCACCGCGCTGTACATAAAAATTTTATCAAAAGAGACATAATCATGACATTAAAATAAAATACATTTATGAAATAAAGAACAGCAAAAAAAAATGTATATTCACCCACCCCACCAGATAACTTTTACAAGGCTGTTTATTAAATTAAGCAGCGCTCAGAAAGTAAAATCGAGGGGACACATCTTAAAAAAAGAATGCAGCAAGGAATCACTTTTGACATGATAACATCATTGGTTTTCGGCTTGTGCAAGCGGCGGTAAAATACGAAGTAAGTGTAGGGTGGGCATTTCTTAACTTTACCATTTTATTATTCGTTTAATTGTTCTTACCCTCACAATTATTGGTACTACTTATTTTAGAATTATGTAAATTATTTTTGCGCCACTGATATCAATATAAGCATTATAGTTCTTATTTTAAGCCAAATTTATGCAAAAGGGAGATCATCAAGAGTAAAATAAATACCTTTAGGATTCCAATGTGTCCAGTGACGAAAAATCCTAGGGTCACTGCGGGATTAACGTGAGCACCGCTGACTTGTCCAAACACCCAAATGGACAGAGCGAGCCCGAGCCCGAAGCAGAAAGCTACCGCCATGGTTGACGACTCCGGGGCCAGAGTCCCCGCCGGCCCACATCCCATCAGAACCAAGATGGCAGTACCCAGTGTTTCAGCTGCGGCAGATTTGACACAACGCAAGTTGCTGACCTCGTCCAGTTTCAGAAGGCTGGTGAACTGCAACATTCTCAAGTCTGACCTTTCTGGATCATAAAACTTGAGAACTTCCGTTGCTGACCTGCAGTTGACTGACTTTTTTTTTTCTAAAGTAATTTTGTTTATATAATTATATTTGATCTTTTCTGAGCAGCAGTTCAGTTTGTGTTGCCAGTGTGCAGCAAATCTTTTGTTCTAAAGATTTTTTTTTTTTTAAATTTGCATTAAAGATTTATTTATATGTCAAATTTTTTTTCCGGTCTAAATATTTGTTCAGTTGTTAGTGCATTGGTTGCAGAACTTTTTAAACTAAGACAAAAACAATTGACTGCTAGTGTGCGCTTTTTTTTCTGAATCACGTTATCTTTTACCTGCACGGCTTTCTGCTCTATCTCCCTAATGGCAGTCGCCAGGTAAAACGAAGACCCTATATAAACCCAGTGACCTGGTGTTTGATTAAGGTATGTGTTAGTGTTGGACAGGAATGACGTAGACAACAAGGCCATAAAATTAGGGAATTAAATTATAATATGATTTTTAATGAGTCGAGTGACGACGGATATGTTTATGTGGTGGATGTGACGGGAAATTATGTCTCAAGACAAGGGGTGGGACATGCAAATATTTTTAAATTCTTGTTCAAATTTTCTAAGACATTTGTTTTCTTATTTTATTTTTAAAAAATAAGGTGTTTAAATTTTGGGCCCTAGTTTTCCATTAATTCTAACTATTGTTTGTACAGATCTGATTGGTTATTGTTCTCTTTGAAACCTCAGTCCTTTTGGAAGACCACAGCAACAAAAGCAACAACACCAACAACAGCTACAACATAAACAATAGCAAGAACCACACCAACGACAACAACACCAACAACACCAAAAACACTAACAACAGCATTAAAAGTAACAACAGCAACAACACTAACAACAGCAATAACACTAAAAACGGCAACAACATCAACAACAGCAACAACACGAACAACAGCAACAAAGAGAGGTCCGCTGGGACGAGCACATTAACAGTGTGTGCAACCGGGCAAACAAGACCCTGGGGTTCATAAAAGGCGCAATCTGAAGATCGGCATGAAAGAAAAAGCCAATAAATCCTTTGTCAGGTCTACTTTAGGGTACGCTTCTACAGTCTGGAACCCATTTACCCAGAAAAGCATCGACAGGTTGGAGGCGGTCCAGCGACGAGCAGCATGCTTTGTCATGAACCGCTACAGAAATACCTCAAGTGTTGGCAGCATGCTAAAAACACTGGGCTGGTCAACATTGCGGAAGAACGACGACGACTATCCAGGCTCACCATGTTGTACAAGATAACAAATGGCTGCTCCGGCATCAAACAGAAACTCGTTCATCTTCCCCCTAGACTGCGACGAGGCCACGACAGACAGTTCCGGCTAAAAACAAGAACAAAGTATAGGAGCTCCTCATTCCTGCCGAAGACAATAGGGGACTGGAACAAGCTTCCAAAAGCAAAAGTTGAGGTGCCTACACTCGGCACATTTGTGTCTACTGCCTCAAGTATTGCAACCCCCAGTTCTTAACACCACTGCTGAGTCGCCCTTGCAACCAGTGAAGTATCCCCTTGAAATCCATGCACAGTAACATCGCGAAACCCTCTGAAACATGTGAGACAGAATGATCAATTCATTGATCGTGGGCCCTCAAAAAAAAGAGGAATAAGGATAACACAAAAAACAGCAACAACACCAAAAACACCTATAACACTAACAACAGCAACAAAACGAACAAAAGCAACAAACACAACAACGGCAACAATACCAATAATAGCAACTACATTAACAACAGCAATAAAACTAACAACACCAATAACACTAACAATGGCAACAACACCAACAACAGCAACAACACTAACAACAGAAACAACAGAAACAACACGAACAACAACCATAACACTAACAACAGCAACACCACCAAAAACAGCTACAACATCAACAACAGCAATAACAACAACACTGGTTTAATTATTGGTAATTATCACAGGTAATAGCTCTCTGTGCATGTGTGTTGATATGCATGTATATATATGTATGCGAGTATGTATGTATGTATGTTTGTATGTATGTATGTGTGTATGTATTTATGTATGTATGTATGTATGTATGTATGTATGTATGTATGTATGTATGTATGTATGTATGTATGTATGTATGTATGTATGTATGTATGTATGTATAATGTATGTATGTATGTATGTATGTATGTATGTATGTATGTATGTATGTGTGTATGTATGTATGTATGTATGTATGTATGTATGTATGTATGTATGTATGTAACGTATGTAACGTATGTATGTATGTATGTATGTATGTATGTATGTATGTATGTATGTATGTATGTATGTATGTATGTATGTATGTACGTATCTATGTAATATATATATGTATGTACTAGGTTCAGTAATAGCAAAAAAATGCAATACTCAAAAGTGAAGTAAAAATGTGTATTATTTTTCCATCCAGAAGCAATTCCTATTTCTACATGGAATTCTTAAAAATACTGAAAGCGAGATTTCATTTTGCGTAAATCGATTCATTTTATATCTGGCAAAATCAGTCTATAGGGGAATCTTTAAACCGTGGTAATAATTAAAATATTTTTTGAATAATTTTTTTTTCTAGATTTGAGGGCCAACGATCAATTTTTTGATCATTCTGGCTCCTGGCTTGAATTGAGATTTTACCTTCTCTTAGATGAGCTGCCGTCCAAGGCTAACGAATCCCATCCACCCAGGGTGCTTGGGATGTTTTTTGTCCTGACTTTGGTGGGGATAGGACTCCAGACCACCAGCTGCTTGGATTGAGTCAGTTTATCCTTTTAGCCACCTAGCAGCACCCACGCCAAGACAGTAACAATAGATGATGAGGACAACAGCCGAATGAGCCACCCAGCCGCTCCCACGCCAAGACAGTAACAACAGATGATGAGGTCAACAGCCGAATTTCCAAAGCTAATGTTTCATTCGCAAGGCTTCGCAAGAGTGTTCAGGAGTAAAGCGTTATCGGCCTTGTCACCAAGTTGGACTATATGACCTTGACCAGAGGCTATGACCCTGACCTAGGGCCTTGACCCTGACCTCTAGGAGATTGATATTTATGGTAGAGATGGGAAAAAATAACTTCTGTTCGTTTGCACTGATGGCTGGAAATGATATTTCTGAGGCGATAATTTGTAAGAAATCCAATGTTAACCACCATGATAATTTAGTGAAAGGCATTCCTGATACTAGTGCTGAAAGGAAGTGTTTAATGAACATTTTCAATTGTAATAGTTACTTAAGGGAAGTGCTGTTGGCTACGACGTCGCTTATAAAGCATATGAGATGATTTTAAAAAATGCATACCCTATCAAAGCCGGGCTTATTTGCTAGTTTCATATTAAAAGGGAATTTTTTTTTTTATACTCAAATTTAAAAAAAAAAAAATTAAGTAAAATCGTCCTATTGGTAACTACATAAATTATAACTTTTTGCAAATAAAGTTAATTTTAAGTCACCTCTTCCTTTCTGTATGACTGTCTATCTGTATCTATGTCTATCTATATGACTTTTATGTATTAATGTCTGTCTGTATCTACGTCTATCTATATGAATTTTACGTATTCATGTCTACCTGTAATAAAACTAAATGTACGACTATCACTTTGGTTGTCTATTTACAATAACTTCAGTTTCCACCTAGATTTGCATACGAAAAGTAATTAAACAAAAGATAATCAGAAAATAATTAATTATTTTTAATTTTCAAAATCTTTCATAAACAATTTAAAAATTCGAGATAAATGTGTGAAGATTTATTTTTAAGGTCAAAGGTGAGTTGATCTAGAAAAAGCAAAACTCCGATATTTTATAATCTACTTAGATAAAGAAGCGTAATAAAAGAGAAATGAGGTGAAAGGTCAAATTAGTTGATAGGAAAGTATTCTGGGGGTCGGGGGTGGTAGCTTTAAGGGGGTCCGGAAAGACATTTTGCATCACATGGTGTGCTCCGACTAGTGGGCCGGGCAGGTAGACATTCTAAAAAATTAGGTCACAGCCATCCGTCATGATTCGCGTCATAGCTGTCATGGTTTTAACAGCAATGTGACATGGAAAGCTAGTCCTTTACGTACGTCCTCCTGATGGGAAATCATTAGCTGAGGAATACAGAAAGGCCTAATTAAATTATAGGAGTCATTGGGTGCACAACAGTTCAGCGTAATAAAATACGTAAAGAACATATTATATAAATATCAAGCAATTTCAATATCAGATGTGTACCACAAAAAGAAGACATAAATATCAAGTCATATCATTTCAGATGTGTACACATACAGATGACATAAATATCAAGTAATACAATATCAGATTTGTGCCACAGACATATGACAAAAATAACAAGTAATACAATATCAGATTTGTGCCACATACATATGAGATACATATCAAAGAAGGTTTTGCCAAAATCCCTTTTTGAAGTATTCTCATTTTTTAAAAAAAATTACAAGAAACTATTACTGCCCACTATTGTTCAAATGTTTGCTAATGAAAATAATTAATACGATAGCAATCTAGCTTTATTTACTGGTATGATGACGAAGTTATTTTTCTCCTATTGTAACATTTTCATAATTAAGTTATAATTTTTACGGGACCTACCTGTTGTCGCAAATCCAGGACATGGCATCGGATGTCATGTCGTATATCACGTGACATGGTCTCTGGTTTAAAGTCGGTTGGTTCACGTTGGACTCGCTGGGTTCATGGTCACTAACGTGTTGACCCCTTGACGTCAGCAGCACCGACCAGTCCTTATGTTGGACGTGGACACGTGGGATGGCGTCGTCTAGTGACGTCCGTAGACTTGCTTCCCAAACAGACCATTACAATGAAGTAATGTTGACGGCTGTCTGTGTCCAGGATGTCTGTCTGCTCTAACACGTCACACATCCCCGTTATTGAATTTAAACTACAACCATTAATTAACTTCTAGTTTTAATTATCGTGGTAACAATGGCTTT